TTCGACCACCTTATTTGTGTATAATTTTATATTACTTCAGGTTTGTAATGATGATCTAAACAGGCTGTTACAAATGCATAAAAGTCATCAGCTTTAAAGCTCATACTTTATTTGTCAGAAAAGCATATTTGAGTAAGATATTATCTATCTAAGCTCAGAGAACGGTAAGTTCTCCAACAGTTCTCCACAAAAGGGTTATAAACAAAGGGCTTGCCTAAGCATGAGGAAAGCATTTTGCAGCAAAGTTTAGCCCAAAACTGTTTAAATATGTTTCTATAAGAGTTTTTTCACTTTTACAACTTTGTGGTTAAGAATTGCTTCTTTATTCCCAGGGGACTACTTAGACATTCACAGTTTGATAAAACTTCTGATGTTTGTCCTGGGACATCGAAAAAGAGTCTCTGGAGTGCCATTTAATAATTAAATGACCAGGAAAGTAAAACTATCCCAGGGAAATGGCCTAAAGGTTTGCGTAGTCCATTTGACAGAGGACACCTCCTTTTCCTCATAGTATTAAACACCATTTCCACTCATTTTTCCATACCAGTTTTCAAGCATGACTTTTCAAAGAATGGCCTAAAAGTGGTTGCACTCCCCTCTCAGACAAACCCTCATCTGGTCAACTCCTGTAAATTTAAATCTCTAAGATGATGTCGAAGAATGTTAGTCATACTTATATTTTCCCCTATCTCATGTAAGAACTGTATAGTCTGTTATAAATACATATTTCAGACACCGCTGGGAATTTTGATTTATTTGTTAATTTTAAATCATTCTGGACAAGCAGTGTCTTGTTTGTCTTCTGGTATCTATACAACAGAAGAAGGTGCTTTGCACATGTAGCTGGGATAACATCTGGGAAGAAGGAACTACAAAGAATGTGATATAAAGTGGTTGTCTCCACTTATTTCCATTAAGTACCTTGTTAGAATGGTGATACACTTCTAGGTCAATGGGATTCTTTCCATTCATTTCCAATATGAGTAGGAAGGGGCCCTGTTTCATTCTTGCTCCACTGAACTTGGATTATTAAATTTACATCATGCAATGGAGGTGCCTCTTAACACTGAAGAATTCTTCTTCCTGAAGAATTGTTGCTAACACAAACAGTCCCAGTGACTCCATCAGTACCGACCCATGGTAAGAATTGTTTGGGGTAAAAAAATGTTTGATTCATTATGGTTTTCTTCATGTAAGGGCTATTTTAGTAGTAAAAGTGAAGAAGGCAAGATTTGCATAAAGAAATTGTTTTCAAGAGTGCCATAAGGATACGAGTGACCTTTTATGGCAAACTGGCACAGTTATAGAAAAAGTGTGGAGTCACAAGTGGGTGAAAGGGTTGGAAACTACCACTTATGTTCTGACACTTTCAAAGAAAACCAGAAACGAGCAAACACGCTTTCAGGAAAGCAAATTTGTAACCAACACTCAGGAGCTTCATGATCCTTGCTCTCAAATCAAATTTATTTGGGAATATCATCATAGGAAATACGGACAAATACAACAGAATAAAAACACACAGTTGTAGATTGCCTTGTTGAAAATTAAATAAAAAAATACTGGCTAGATCATAACCCATAACAATATTACATAATATATCTGTCATATATCTCAAGATAAAAATACAAAATAAAACTCTAGAGGGCTAATCATAGCTACAGCTCCTCAGTGTGCTCAATGCAGGGGTACATGCCCATAATGCCGTGGGAGAGATGCATATACAAACACCATTTCGTATGGCCCCATGCAGTGTTTTGGTAGCGCAGCCTTACAGGTTTCAGAGATAAACTGTTGTTTAGGGAGAGGCCCTCTCCAGAAGCCTTTCTGACATCTGAATGCAAATGTCACCCAAAGTCAAAGCCTTATCTAAAGCATGTTGGCTACATCAGTCTTCTCTGTCAAAAAAAAATTTCTCCTCACTTAAGCAACAAACTAAGTTTTGGGTGATGTTCAGATAAAATCTTGCTAAGAATAAAGGAAGAAAGAAAGATAATTAGCTGGCATTAAAGAAAAACTAAGGACTTCTCTACTTGTAACATCTACCACAGTGATTAAAACTGAAAACAAATGAGCAAATAGGATGATTTATACACAAATCACATTTCTGTAGTAACAAATGAGTTCTGCAGGCAATGAGTACCCCCAGTGAGATCAGGAGCTCCTTCTATTGTCTGCAGTGGGAGACCTTGGTGCCAGCTATAGTAACAGGACACTGACAGCCCTACAGGATGCTCTGAGTACTCTGCAGAATCTGCTATAATTTCTGCTTGTATTTCCAGGAGAAAATTGTTGCAGAGTGTATAAATCACGATGGGATAGACACACAGAAGGAAAAAAAAGAAAAAAAAAGTCATGTCCAACTATGGTAAAAATGTTAAATTCTGATCCTCCAGACTTTCAGTCTCAGTGAGCCATAAATAATAATGTTGAATAACACTCTGTACCTAACAAATACCTAACTGGCTTAGTTTTAAAGATATCAGTCATCTTTAGTACTTTTCAAATTTGCCAGGAACTGCAGATGCTCAGCGTATCTGAAATAAGATCCGAGATTCTCAGGTATTTAATGAGAAGAATTTCCACTGCCACAGCATATGGCAATTTACAATTAAGAAAAAAAAAAAAAAAGTCTGATATGACCATTGTTTCTTCTCTTGTCATAATGGCAATAAGAAGCCGTAATATGGTTTGCTTTTTATTACAAAGGAAAAAACAAAAAGAGTCCAACATTCCCCAGAAGGATGCAGAGGTGCACAGAGCAGTCCAGGCTACTAATGATATGCTCAAACACTAGCAGAGAATACATAAATCTTAACCCTTAGCAAAAAATATCGATTGCGTTATAACATATATGATACAATTTCATTTGTTAACATTTCATTTGTTAACTGCACTGTACAGAAATTTGTCCATGCTAAATACAAGCCCTGGACCAGATACACACAGCAATTTAAATGCACTTTTTACATCCTATATGCACAAACATTCCTTAAGTTAAAACTATGCACACTGCTTATGCATAGCTTGTGTATGGCTTACATGTTTCGCGACAGCAATTCCACCTTTTGGAATGCCCTTAACCCAGGGCTTGGAGCTCTCGCTGCTCCCAGCTCAGTTTTGACTGCTCTGCTGTCAGAAAAGAGACATTCAACAGGTATGGACATGTAAGGGTCCCTCAGTCTAGGGTTTTACGATTCCTTCTTCAACTGGGACAAAACGTGCCCTTGTTGAGGTTAAGCCTGATGCCTGCTGCACTCTGGTTAGATCCCTGAAGCAGCAGATGAGTAGCACAGAGGTCTCACCCATCCATCAGCCTCTGCATAGAGGGGAGTGTCATCGCTCCCACCAGTCCTCTTCAGAGCAAACCATGGCTGATTATAGACGGCTTTGGTCAGTGAGGTAATAACCACAGGGCCCGAAAAGGAGAACTGGGAGTGCAGCAACCCAAGCGCCTGCACCACAAAGGGGAGCATGGAAGTTTCCTGGCAGGTTCCAGCAGAGGGAAATGAGGTTGGCTGTGGGTGCATGGGATGCCTGGGCAAGCCAGGAGGGGTCAGTTGCAGCTCAAGAGAAGCAGAGATGAAGATGGAGTCTCTTTCTGGGCACAGTTCAGGCTGGAGGGCTCATTCTGAGGCTTCTTGCAGAGGTAACTGCCTGAACGCTATTTTGCTGCCCCTCAGAGAAAGACTGTCTGGTGTTTTCTCTTCATGAAACAAACCCTGGCAAGGATTTCACAGGATCTGTATTGTCACCTTTGTACTTGAGACAAATGATGATATAAGGCCTCAGTGTCACCTTCCAGTTCTGTCTGAGAGGCAACAATATTTTGCTGAAGTGAAAACATTTTCATGTATTCCTGTTGCTGTCTCTTCTGCCCTACAAAACAGTGAGCACCAGCTTCACGGTGGGGGCGACATCATTGATGTCTTCCAAAATACTATAGGACTGAAAATGTTTTAATTATTAATACTGGATGCTATTTAATTAACTTTAAAGAGATATTTTGAATATTGATTTGTTGAACACCAGTTCTCACCATATGGCAGCCACCACAGTGGGGAGGAGTCATCATCCATGCAGGCAGGTCAGTGTAAATCTACAACTTCCCTGTACAGTCTACATATTTTTATTTCCAGATATTTTTAGGAAGCTTATGAACAGGACTTTTATGCTGCATGCAGCACAGTTGCATGTACAAGTATCTGTAACAACGTTTCGTTTTGACTTTGCATTTCCATTGGATGCTAGTAGCAGTGACACATAACAGCAATCCCAGGCAGATGATAAAAGTCATGTTTTCATATGTCTCATGGTTAACTGCAAACATCTGGTATCGGTGATGCAATAAAACAAGGTCTAACTTTGGCTGAAAAAAATTATTTTGGCTAGTTTATGAAAGCAGAATAGAAGAGGAAGTAGTCACAGCAAATACAAATGAAATCTTGCAAGTTGTTAAGTGCCTTGAGTTACCAGCTCAGACAGTTTTACACTTTTAATCATTTTGTCCAATCATTCTTCACAGAAACAGAATGATCCAAGAACAAGTTGACAGATAACAGCCTCCGAGAGCACGTTTAGGAACAGCTAGAGTTCTTTTCTCCTGCAACAGAGGTCAAATGAAAATTCATAAACAACCAGTTTTAAAACAAAGCATATTTAAAACAAAGATTTTTGATACTACTACTTTTAGTATGTAATATACATGAATTGAGGATGTGTTACTGCATGATTATTTATTCTGACATTAAGGATTTGGTGATGTAAAATTATTGCTTCTCCCTTCTTCATATGGAACAGCTTTTAAGAGGACATAGAAAGTGGGATGTACCATCTCCCCTTTTGAAAATTTTCTAGTAAAATCAAAACCAGAATAGATAAAGAACATAATAATATTATCACCAAGCGAGGCTTTATGGTATAAAACTCTCCCCATTAGGCAAAAGAAATTAAAAATTACCTGTTCTGCCTGACGAGTCAGAAGCTTTTAAGAAACAGCAAATTTAGTTCTGTATCAGTGCTTCTTTCTGCTCAGTGGCTTTTACTATATCTTCTGACTTCTTATAGTGTTTAGGCTCACCTGGAAGATAAACAAACATGACTGGGAACCTGACTGAGGAAGGTCACCACGGTAAGAGAATCTGCACAGCCCTAGACAGACAAAGAATATTTTCCTCCTGACTTTTTTGACGTTAAGATGAGGTTTTAGTCACTGCTTTCTTTAACTCCTTTTTCACCAGAGAAAGCACTGAATTGAATTAACTAATCATTACGGTTTATCCATAAGGCAAAAGATAGAATGAAAACAACAGAACACAGCATGAAACAAAAAGATGAAGACATTTACATGAGTAAATGTTAATAAAGTGGGTGGTTTTCATTTATTTTATCTTCCAACTTACTGAAAAGTCAAAATTCACCCTCTGTGCTGTTTAAATCCTTTAATGTAGGCTTTCAAACTGGGAGTAAGCTTCTCAGATAATGAAAGATGCCAGTGTCAGGTTCTAAGAATTCAATTAATTGAATCAGATAGGAGCAATGGCACCAAGTGACACAATCAACGTTCAAACTACATGATACAACATGAATTTCAAACTGACAGTCGTAATATTAAGCTGTTGATTAAACTGTTCCTTCAATAACTTTGAATGAGTACAGATGAGGAAATTATAAACTGAGATAGTAGGCATGGGGAGAATGTAGCAAACTTACAGTATTATTTACTAACTATATCGTAACTTCTCAGTTTTAATCGAGAAGCTGATTAAGTGATTCCGCCTGTGATTAATAATGCTAACTTGAAAACGTGAAAAAAGAAAAGCATAGAAATCTCAAAAGTGGGGAAGATAAGCTGGGAGAAGCATAAAAGTTATAAAAACAAAAATACAGGCAGCGGAAGATTTTTGTAATCCAGAAAACAAAGGTACAAGCAGCAGACAGGGATGATATGAGACTTGAAAGGGAAATCTAAACTCGTCAAGTTGAAGTTGAAGAAAAGGCCCACAGTTTAGAGAAAGTGAGGAAAGGGTGCTCATGAGAATGAGGAAAGAAGAAAATTAATAGCTATTAATTCATCATGGCTTCATTGTAAACAATTTCCTATTGCTACTGATTCTACCCTTGTTTCATCGCTATGAATAGTGGCAGAGTGGGTGCTGCCCACTCTCTAATGGAGCCATCAGCAGATGGGCCATATTCCCCCAAGCAGCATTCTTTAACATCCCTCTTACTTTGTACAAATTAGTGTAGGTGGAATACAGACAACAAGTCCTCCGAAGGCTTTTAGCGTCTCAAAATCGGACTAATGAATTAAAACAAGAATGTTCAAGAGCAGGCTGGATGGGGTTTTGAGCAACCTCGTCCCATGGGATGTGTCCCCGCCCATGGCAGGGGGGTTGCAATTAGATTATCTTTTAAGGTCCCTTCAAACCCAAACCATACCATGATTCTATGAATGTCTCCAGACCTTTCAGCCTGCAGCTGTTTTTGGAGGGACTTAGCAAAAATTTCATTATTATTCATAAAATCAAAAAAGGGAGTGGGGAGAGGTATGAAAGGGAAACCTATTGATCTAAATATTTAAATTTTATACTTGACATAGAGTGGGTAGCAGAGTTTTAGGAATTGGATATGAGTTGTTTATGGAGGCCTTAAAACAAAAAAAAATTAGTATATTTAATTTTCATAAAAACTAAACATTCACTTCTAAACCATACATAACTTTGTTCCTGTCAATGCATCAGGTTTTTTTTTATGTGACAAACTCTGCCCTATGAATGATTGGTATTACCTTATAATCCTTATCTTTTTCATAAACACCTAGTTTGGTCTTTTAATATAACTTTCCCTCCATCCTCAGCCCATGCATGAACATGGTTGTCTTCCCTTAGCACCATGATCCCAGTTTCCTGCAGCTCTGCTTAGTTACACGGTGTACATGAGGAACACCAAGGAACCAGGCATGGCAGTGACCTGTGCCTGCTCTGCACGGCTGCAAAGGCTTTCACACTGGGATGAGCACCACAGGGCCAGCGCGGCACTGAATGGTCACTAGTATTTCCATGGCATGGATGATTACTTGATGCCACTTGCATGACCATAAATCAAACTGGCACGTTGTTGATGTAGCTCTCCCCACTGCTGTTTAACCTGCTTATCCTCCAGAGGCTTTCAGCCACTGACTGCTGATGACGTTGAAAGCTTTGTACCACTTGCTGTGGCTGGATAGTCCTTTGCTGTCATTTAGAGTGAAGATACTGATAATGTGTTTTATCACAGACTTATTATCTCCTTCACATTTTGATATTAAGGATTAATGTGGCTATCATCATGAGTGAAAAGTTAAAAGTGTGCCAATTAGCATTTATAAATCATTCAAACGTGGAGTTGTTTAATTAAACATAAGCAGTTTTTAAAATTAATGTTCTAATTAATAAATCACTCAGGAGAAAAGGAAAATCATCACTTAAAAAAAAATCACCTTATAATAGTTCCACTTAATCTTGTAACATTCAATTAAATGAAAGTGAGATGATGGAAAGGACAAAAGTGTCATGGAGAAAAACAACATTTAGTCACAACAGGAGTTCTTGTAACAGTGACCCTCCGGCTGTCCCCTTGCACTAACCAGGACCCAGGGCAGAGCTACTCCTGTTAATAAAATGTCATGGTCTACAAGAACTACACCTAGAAAAGATGTGACACAAGGAGAGGAAAAGAGTCCCTTTTTTTTTCTTTTTTTTAATAGGGAGCCCCTTCATCCCAGTATATCCAAACATTCAGTGACAGTTCCCAAGAATGCAGACAGACTATCTTCCCATGCTCCTCATCTCTGTTACAATGCGGTCACTTACGGGAAACGAAAATGAGATTTCTGCTTTTTATAAAGGACAGAACAATGACAGCTAACATAAGAAATTCCAATCTGAATAACTCTGCTGCTTTCCCTCTTACTTTCTGTCTCATTCTCTCAGCCCTGTGTGCACAAGTGCTTACTCCACCACCTCAGCAGCCAGCAAGCACTGTGGACATCGCTTTAACCTTCTACCCCCATCCTCAGTACAGAAAGTACAGAGGAAGAAAAATCTTGATTGAACAGTGCTAATAATGTCCTGATAGATGTATAGTGAGTGTTAGAATACTCAAATAACTCTAATTCAGGATGTGGGGAAAAAATGTAAGGTCGTGTATGCCACCTTCTGCTTGCTTGAAATGATATTCCATTAAAAATCCCCAACCTCGGTGAAAAGACTCCTGTCTGGATCTGCCACCCATCAACAGAGGTGTGGAAGTGAAAAGTGGGGATGCTACCCATGCTATACTTCCCTTATGTGCCAAGTGCTGCTGTAGCATACACAACACATGCATCCTTGACCGTTTCAAACATTGCTTATATAGGGAAAAGGAGGGGAGAGTCAGAAGAGAAAACAGAGACTGCTGTGCTATTTGTAGTTATGAGGCTTTATACAACACGCTGCAGCAGTGAAAACTCTTGCAAAACCACTAATATTAAGGATCTACATTTAGACAACAGCAATGACAGCATAACAGAGTCCCTCCATTTAGAATTGTATTAAAACATTTTACCACTGTGAAATGTGAAACAATTTAGCCTGAGTTTTCCCTTTTCTATTGAATATTGCAGACTATTCAAGTACCAAATGCCAGCCTTGCATTTCTTTTCAGTTATCCTTGACATGGTGGCACGATCTCTGCAGTTACTTAAAGCTTCTGCTGAAACCCAATATGAATTCATTTTGTCTCAAAGAGCCAGGACGTGCGTCCCACCATGAGTTTGTTGAAAGTCTGCTGCCCTGACCCCTGCACATTACAGTGATGTAAATGCCTGCAGTATACATTTTAATTGTCAGGACAAAATAAAAACAAACCACCACATATGTAATTTATTTATATAATCTATGACATATTTGAGAAATGTTAGGTCTCCTATGAGGTTTATTAGAACCATAAAGTTCTGTGAAAGAGTCAGTGCTGACTCAAAAGATCACAGTATTTAAATAATACATATTTCTTACTGTATAGTAAGATGGCTGCTCTGTCCTTAGGAAAGAAAGTTTTAAGAATATGATGACATAGCCCTTCTGTAAAACATTTTTAAAAGACCATAAATTATTCAACATATTTTTCTATGGTATTTAAATATTGGGAAAATAGGAAAAATGCATGAATGAAATGTTATTAAAGTACAAATCTAACAATTTAATGACTTAAAATTAGCTTGTAAGCAATAACATTACAAACCAATAAACCCCTACAATGAAAAAAGACTCAGAGGAGATGAGCAAGGGTGACATGCCCTTCAAGCTCAGGAGATGATGCAAGGGGTAACAGACCAGAGCTTTTGCAAAGAATGCTGACAGTCTCAACACAAAGGGAAGTAGAAGGTGGCCTTTGGTTTAGATAGGTACTTATGTCAGTTGAGTGGATCCACTGACTATATTATAGTTGAGGGGATCAACCAGTGGTGTAGACATTTCTCTTTGTGTTCATCAGAAGAGCATAACTGTCTCCTTGAGCTAGCCAGGCCAGCATGGAGGGAGTGAATATGTGAGTCAGCCCAGTACAGAGTACAAAAACTCAACAACTAGCAAAAGAATTTTGAAGAGAGCAATAGGTTTGAGCTAGCTTCAACCCATGTATGCTTTACTGGTGACTGGGGACACTCAGGATGGTAACAGCAAGCTTGTTCTAGAGACTAGCAATGGGACTCACATCAGCATTCTGACTGAGCTGTGTATTGCAGTTGCTCTCTTTTGCTAAATGCAACTTACATTTGTAGTGTGCTTTTACTATATTTTGTATCACTGCTAAATCAGAAATCCCCTGTCACATCAACTACCTTCAAACAGATAAATCTGATATTAAACATTGCATCTTTCGCACATGGAATATCTAAAGGAACCTGGTTGGAGAGTATTGGACTCTGACATTAATATGCCACAGAAACCAGGCAAAGCATTCATCATGTTTTCCATTTACCTGGATATTTATCTATGTTGGAAAATAAACACAAAGAATCACTGAAGGTGATGGATGAGAGTAAATTCAGCACATCACAATGAACAGACATTTCACATAAAATGACAACTAAAAGTGCCTTCAAGTATCATATGCCTTTAAAATTTACACCTAATCAATATCCTTATTCTGTGCACAGTAGCACTCTACTAAAAATTTGTAAAACAGAAATCCAGCTTTATCTTGTGCTTTTCTGAATTGAGGGACTATTAATTATTTCTGAGAGGATCCATGAAAGGTTCATGAGACTGTAAGAAATGGAAACATACTTTCTGTAGGCTTAAGCTGGCTGACCAAGGGTGCTCTTTTCCACTGGAAAAATTTTAATGATTCACAGGGCTAAACAGGTGAAAAGTCACTATTCTAGAATGCAAGATCCAAAGAATTGGGAATGCATAAAGTCTCTGAATTTTCCATTACAGTAGGATTTTGACAATATAATTTCCTGTGATGATATAATTTCCCATGGCAACACCAAGAATTGATGACTACATGCGTTCACAAACCACATCAGATGAAGAGTTTTCAACCTAATTTGAAGACCTGTTCAGAAGAGAATTTTACAATGGGTGAGCATGTGTTTGATCAATGGCATGAACAGTAGCCTCTGCTTTTTACACACTCTTTCCACCAGGAAACGGCACAGCTTGTAGTAAAGGAGTGTTTGGAGAAAAAACCTTTCAGATCCATTTCATTTTGCAAGATCTTTATGCAGCAGTTTAAGATTTTCAGGCACAGACATTTAGTTTCAGCAGAGAAACCTACATTTCTATACTAAAACTTTCCATGGTAATCAGCAACATCTGAGATGGGCGCTCATGGCTGAGATATAAGTTGGGGTCCCAGTAAGGGAGTATTGGCTCATCATTCAGCTTTTGGAGTTGCCTTAAAAATAATTTTCTGGTTTTATTACTATGTGATTAATCACTTCATGCAGGTATGTCTCCTGCTATATCTCCCCTTTTTCAATGACTTGTTGTAAATCCATGGTTTAATTACCACTCACTGCCTCTATTGTGATGCAAGAGTTGATCAACATCCTCATATGAGCTCTGGCTTTTAGTTCAGGACCTTACCAATACTATTTATTCCCATAAAATAATTAAACCAGTCTCTTACTTCTACTTCATTATTTATTCTTGTATATTGCCATCTCTAGCAAAGGAACATGCTTCAACTCGTGAAATTCATGTTATTAAATCTTTTTTAACCATATTCAAGAAAAAAACTAGCTTCCAGATCATGTCTGCCTTTGCAAATACACTACTACAAACTCAACGACTTTGTACTCTTTTCATAAATTTTTCAGTTTGAAGTGTTAAAATACAAAGTATTCTGTAGAAAATTCCCTGCCTTAGAAAGTGAATAGAGATTAGCTTTTTCTAAAACAAGAAAACTCTGTCCTCATATGAAAGGTGGAATGTAAAGATTGACAAGGCAACAGAGTGCACTAACTTCATGCTGAGTTGTATCTGAGCTCTTAAACAGTATTCTTGTTGGTCAGCCATCTAAAGACCCCCAGGGACAGCTACATCACAACTGCTTTCTGCATAGTTTTAAAGAGAAAAGATCCAGCTTTTCCTAACACTTTCCTCATCCAGGAGATAGGCCACGTTTCTAAGGTACTGAAAATTTCAAGTCGGGCTTTAATACAAAAATTGGTGAAAAAAATGCATGTCAAAAGACAAAAATGTCAGTTATTAGTAAACTTCAAATGCTGTGAAATTAATTTTAGTGTGAATATTTTGATTTAGGACCTTAAATTAGCCATCTGTTATTTCTGGTGGAAAAAAACCTGTCAACAATAAAAGCGTGGAGCAGTGGAATGTGGAACGCTAGAATAAGTGGGAGTTCCCCATAAAAAGCATTTTTGAGAAATAAGCCAACTCATATACTTACATCTAAGCTAAGCCTTATAAGCACTTCCAATGTTGCTGCTCAGACAATGCCATACTTCTGGCACAATACTGGAAGGCTCACCGTCATAAAAGCATTAATGAGTTCAGCATTTGAATTAGAAGTGACGAAAAGAAGTGTCATTATATGCCTCGATTATTCTTATTAACCTAATAAGTCACAGCTTATTGTAACAATAAGTAAATTCAGAAAATAAAATAAAAGTGGACAGTGTCTTTCTCTTATTTAGATAACATTTGTTGCTATTGCTTGGGCATCTTGCCCTTGATAATGTCTTACAATTACCAGATACTAAATTATAGTCAGCTTGTGATAAAATACTTCCATTCTAAAAAAAAATATTCTTACATTTTAGGGATTATCTGGCTGCTCTGCTTGTCCTGCAAACTACATTCAGGAAACTGATCTTTTTGATTAAGAGAATGACACAGTCCCATGCCTACTATAGTTAGAAAATTCTCTCTATTTAAAGTTAGCCCTAAAAGTCACATTACATTTAGTACAAAGGACGTGGTTTACAACATGTTGTTTTATAATCACATTAGGTGCCTAAACTAAGGGGATTGTGTTTTAATAGTGTAAGAATAATTACCTAGTCAAAGACAAAAATGTTAGATAGCTCTCTTTTGAAAGTTTACCTCATTCTCCAACAACAAAATGCTTTTTAATAGAAAAAAAAAATCTTTAAATTACTTTTAAAAAATTCTTCCAATTCAGCTAAAGATCTTGGCTTTTTATGTATAAAATTTTCTAGTGGATACTAATTTCAAACAGATGATATTTCTTTGTATCAAACAGCTTTTATATGATGGTTTCAGGACACTATTTTTATACATGCCTGAAGAAACTGTCTTACACTGGTGGCTTGTACAAGACCTTATTTCGATATTTTACTTTACTCTCAGTGTTTGACAGGGAGATACCAGACACTGCTGCAGCTTCACCCTGGACAGCTTCATTAGATTGACTGGTGCTCTGTGATGAAGTATTACCATTCAGTGGGTCTGTATTCTGTGTTTCTTGCTGGGCATCGGTGAGATCTTTCTGGTTCGGATCAGAGTTAGTGCATTTTTCTGAGTTGGATTCATCACTCAGAGGGGTGTCGAAAGAGACTACTTGTAGGACGATGGATCTGGGAGGACAGGCTGTACCATCGCTTCCCTGACTACTCTCATTTTGTATCCTTCTTGTCTCTTCCTGTAACTGTGCATCTGTGGAATTTCTGCTTTGGTCTTTTTCCTGTTCACCAACATTTTTCACAAGTTCTTCTACAAAGAGGGAACAAAATATGTGAATTAGATAAGAAGGATATGCCACAATTGTTTGATTTCAGACTAGTGACTGATAGAGATGCACATAGGAACATTGTGAACATCAACTTTCTGCATGAGGACATGTGCACTGCTGTGTTTAAAATGGATCAGATTCTGTTTCTTATTACACTATTGCAGCTGAATCACAATGGTTCACTTTTGGGCTGATCTCTAATTTGCACCACTTTTTTCTGGCCATAGTACAGAGTGAGCAGAATCCTCAGACACCCTGTAAGCTGAAGGATGGGAGCAGGAGGACCCCACGCTGCAGGCATGTCTCCCAGAAGTGGCGTTTACCACCACCGGACTAGAGTTGCAGAGCTCATCAGTTCTGCAACAGAGAAAGGGCATAGAGGGGAGCACCTTGCTGGGGCTGGGGAAGGCATCAGAACTAAAGGGAAGACATTAAGGAAATTGACCTATCAATCTGGCAAGTCCAAAATGTCAGCTAATACAGAGTTCCATCTGGAAGATGTTACAAAGGGTTACATGTGTGCAGTCCAGTACTGCTGCCATTATGGCTAGTAGAAAATACAAAATGAGAAGGAAGAAATATGGGGGAAATTTTGCTTCAAGGGACTGCAACTACAGGAGAAAACATTTGTGACATGTTTTCTATTGCAGAGAATTGGAGAAAAGTACAAATTAAATGCCCCAGAGTAAAAACAGACAGAACAGAGCAGCATAGAAAGGAGGTACCAAGAGGAACCAGATTAAGAAAACAGAGAATGGAAAACTTGTGATGAAGAGTGAAAAGTCTGATAAAAAATATCTGTACCATCTTCATGGAGGGCCTGTTTCTCTTGCTATTAGAATCTATGTTTTGTAAATTCAGATTTTAGAATCTGTATACTGCTATAGAAGATAAAAACCACTACCAATTTTAAAAGTGAAAACACTGAAGTTTGAACAACACCTGCACAAAACAGCTGCATGTTATTTTTAACTTGGCTGTGCATACTGTATTAAGGAAGGAAACCAAGCACTGAAATATTTATTGAGTTCAACTGGAAACTCCCAGAAACTCTGGTTGTGAGTAATCAGACCAAATACACACCAAAACTGATTGCAAACAACAAATGAAAGATGACAGACAAGTCCGTAATCACTTTTCTACCACAGTCAGCATTTGGCATGTTCGTCACCTTGCTTTTCTGCATCCCAAGAAAGTTCTCCCTGAACTACAATTTGGTCTGTGAAATGGGATGGAAAGGAACATTTCCAAACCTGAACTGATGTGTGGAAGCATGGAATAGTTAAATAAATCCCTTCTTTTGTCAGTTCTTATACTTTCTGATATACTTTTTTAAAAAAATTAAGAACTTTCAAATATGAGATATTCCTAAATTGTTGCACCAGGTTCTTTATGAACTTCAGAGACCTGCTTGTTTTGGACTCCAAATCTTCTGACATTCGGACAGGTAGTCTTTTTCTACAGGCTTCGCTGCAGCTCTTACAAAGAAGTGGTTGGGCTAAAGACATTAAGAAATATGTATATGCAACTTGAAGCAAGTATGATGTTCAACCTAGATATGTTCACTAAAACATCTGTCACTCACGGTGTAATATATCCACCTAAGGCCTTTGTCCCAAGAAACTAATTTACATGACATATTTGCCTCTGTATGGCAGAGGTACAAACATTTTTTCCTTAACTTTATAAAAAAGCCAAGGAAATTCTATAATAAAATATTTCAGATGTTGTTCCGATACATTAGTAAATTGAGGAAAGCAAAGCTGAACTATAATTACATGTAAAACTTTAATGTTAAACTCTAGCTCACTCCACAAATGTTGAGTTTTTTAATCTGGAGTCTGTTAAGATTAGGCAGCTTTTTTCTCACAGAATGTTGTTGTAGGACAATTCTAACCAGAATTCAGATTTCTCTTAGTGTAACTGGGTGGCTGACCACTTTATTATCATATTAGAAGTCTCAGAATATTCATCTAGGCAAACTCCACTATTACATTTTCAGTTCATAATGCTGAACTTCTAAACTTCAAATTCCTTTCCTTCCCTTCCTACAAAACTTAAAATGGCCAATGAAGATTAATAGTTTAATCAGAACTATGTTAATAGCCTGTTCTTAACTTCTGCCATGCTAGTGTCTTATTTCTATGATCACCTTTGAGATGGCCTCAAGTACGTCTGCTTTAAGATATCTAAAACACAGCCAAGCTCAGATCTATGCACATCTGACAGATGTAATTTTGAAATGCAGTGTCTCCGCACCAAGTTACATCTATATCTGCTGCATTCAAACTGGTGAGATACTGTTTATTCCAAAAGGCAGTATAAACAAGTATTTGAGAAAAATATCTTTTTTAAGTATGAAAAATAATGTGGAATTTTAAAATCTGTGGAGGTAAAAATATTGCTAAATATTAGTCTTTTTATGCTGATAACTGTGTCTGTGATTACCACCCCATGGTAACAGAATTTCAAAGTCACTCCATTAAATAAATGTGAAGAAAAGTTCACTTCGGAGGACCTTGTTCAGGACAGCTAAGAGGGGTGGCTGGTAGTTGCAGCTCAGAGTGAGGAGCCTCAAGTACAAAATCCTCTATGATAATATCACAACTTTCATTAAGACCCCCAATACTTTTTCTTGATATTAAGTCTCTCATCTGCTGGACATCTGAATCTATTTTCTGACTTGCTTTGCTCCACTCAGCTTCAATCGCTATGAAATCCACGGCCAAAAAGATGAAAAGTACTGGATTCTTATGGTGTTTGTGGAATATGCTATATGTGTTGGAAAACAAACAAACAAAACAACAGACTCCTGATTTCCGTAACAGCCAATAACTGTACCTTATATTATACAGGATCTTTATATTGTATACCATAACTGGCATTTTCTACCATTTTGGCTGGCTTATCACCCTGATGAAACAGAAGCATTTAGCAGTCTTTTAAAAAGGCTGAGACTGGGACAGTAACCAAATAACTAAAATTCAAGAAAGGCATTGCTAAGTTAATATCACTAGTGTAAGAGAAACAGAGCTGGCATGATGTTTGATCCCCAGTGCTGGACAATAAGAATTAATACAGCAGCAGAGCCTCTGCCTTCAGCCAGCCAGGAACTGCAAGGGGTCTCTGAGAGCAGCGAGCACGGCTGGTGCCCCCCACCCTGCACTGGGCTGCTGGGGAGAGCAAGTTCTCCTTCCCCTGTGGGCATACCTTGCCACCGCCAGCCAGGGGTGGAAATGAGGGATGTTAAAGGAACAATGGAAACTGGCATTTGCAACACCGACAACATTTAATAAGATGAATAAATAAGATGAACAAGACTAAACCTTTTTGAACCTCTACAGAACTTTTTTTTCTCTTTTTTTTTTTTGGGGGGGGGTGGGGGGAGGAGGAGCGATTGGGAGTCAGTTAGGCACAGAACATCTTAAGGGTTATCATATCCACTCAGATAAAGGCAAATAGCAGTGTGTTGTGCAATGCAATGACCTCAGGGTATGTGTTAGTGTTTCTACTGGGTTTGCTTTCTCTGTTTTAACTTTACAGAAGTGCCTGGAGCCAGGTCTGTTTACACATTTTCAACTGTTTGGTATTGTTTTCTTTACACGAACCCAACTGTTATTCAGCAAAATTTGTGTGAGTTCATCTGTAAAGCAAAAGGTGTCTCCTAACTGGTCTGTTAGGGATGACTCAATCTTACCCCTCTTTTTGGTATTTCTGTGCCATTTTTGAATTCCTGCCTTAAATCACTGTCCTTCATGACATGCATTTGATAGGTAAACATGGTAGACGTCAAGTCTTTCTTCTCTTGTGTTTAGGCAAAATAATTGTAATGCATTGTTTATTTGGGAAATTGGCAGCAGTTGTAAGGCAATAACCAAATTTTAAATTAGCTGAAAAAATCTGGTACTCAGAAATTTTGCATCCACAGAAAATGCATTAACCAGTAAAGGTGACTTCTCTCCTTTCCCTTTTTCACTATATGCTATTCTTCTTCCATTAAGTTGCCTTTTTTTTTTTTCTTTCCTGAATAAGTCTCTGAAAATTGAAGTGAATTCTTTAAGTTTTGTTTTTGTTTTTGTTTTTTTTTTCTTTTTAATTGTTTGCTGGAGTGAATGGGAGTACTGAATTGCTGTAAGCCAAACGAAGGACTAAACTGTCCACAAAACACTAAAGCTGTCACACAGCTCAATCTCTAAGCACCATGCTGTGGCCTCCAAAGTATCACTGCTCTGCTGCTGCAGAAGCTCTGGCAAGTCTGCACTATCAGGTACAACACTGTTTTCCACCAGCTCCGCTATGTTATTGCCTATATAGGAAGCAACACTTCTGAGATGTGGTCTCCTAAGTGATGAGGAAGCTTTTCTACATCTTGGTACATTTTCTTCTCTATATACCCATTGACCTTCTTTTCCTGGCCCTTGTGTAATGAAAAACAGAGTATTTAATTACTATCATCTGCACAAAACAGGGCTTATAAAATACCTTCCTATACAACTGCACCACTTGAGCATGAACTGACTTAAGAAGAGTGGAGAGAAAAAACACAAAAACCATGTGTAAGCAGCACATCTCGAATCAGCTGATGTCAGTGACTGCCACAGCACTAAACCCCAGTAAACCAATTGTCTGCTGAATCACATGGCTATTTTCATTGGCTGTTTTGAAAATAAGCTACAATTACAAAAAGACATACTGACATTGAAGCACTAAGAATTAGCCAGCTACTGAATTACAGAGAAAAGTTGTTCATCTTCACTAAGAACTAAATTATTTGAGGAATCCATAATGAAAAATGCTGCTGGATGTTACAGACTCTGTGTATATTACCACAAACCCTGATTTTTAGGCTTGTGTGCCTTCTTTTTTACTGGAAAACAAAGTTCCAGTAACCAGTGACAAAAGATCAAAACTGGGACAACATGGGAAGGAACTGTACCTTTCCAAAAGACATACTCTCACATGGGAATCCCAATTAAGGCTA